TTACACGCGCTGACCTAGAGGAAGCGATGGCTGAGCCTGATGAGCCAGAGGCTCAGGACCTGATCCAGTCGATCACGCGCCAAGCCGCGGTAATCAGGGGCACCCGGCCGTATTGGTATAAGCAAAGGAAGGAATTGGAAGCATATGCCTACAATCTGGGCAGACCTGGCCTTTTCGTTACTGCAAGTGCGGCCGATTACCACTGGGAATCACTATATCGTCACATGCCTCGATTCCAAGAGTGGAAAGCAGCTCCTGAGGCGGCGCGCATGGTCCTGTCCCGGCAACTACTGCGAGACAACGCCCACATCGCCGCCTACCACTTCTACAAGCGTTATACGCTTCTTACGACTATTGTCCTGAAGCAGAAGTTCAACCTAACGGACCTTTGGGGCCGCTATGAGTGGCAGGGCAGGGGGTCCAGTCACCACCATGGCCTATATTGGTTAAGTGGCCACCCAGACTTGGATCCTGACGATAATCGATCCCGGGAGCGATTTGCCCGTATCTGGGGATATCACGTATCTGCCGTTAACCCAGAGCCTCATCGAATACAGGCTCCTGGGGAAGGGAATCCCCTGATCAGCAATCTATTGGAGCAGCCCTCACCGTTCAGTTCCTATCGATGGTAGTCAACCGCGTGCAACGCCACCGCTGCAACAACTACTGTATGCAGCGCAATAAGCATACCAAGCAGGTAGAGTGCCGATTTGGATTTCCTCACGGACAGCGCCTACTAGCCTCCCTTGACAAGTTGCCTCACCCAAGCACTGGACCTTTAGGGGTGGGAGGAACGATGGCCAGATTAACCACTACAACCGCTTGCTTACCGTTGCATGGCTAGCCAATACAGATGTCTCTCCCTGCACGAGCCTCCAGCAGGTGATCGATTACGCAGCCAAATACTGCTCCAAGTCAGAAAAGAAGAGCGAGTCTTTTGCCCAGATTGGGAAGGCGCTGATGCCCCGGGTCAAGGACCACAACCCCCTGATTTCTTTCACGTCAAAGCTCCTGAATCAGCTAGTTGCTGAACGGGATTACTCGAAGCAGGAGGTTAGCCACTTACTCCTCGGCCTGCCGTTACAGGAGGGCTCACGAATCTGCCTATACGTTGACTGCCGTCATCCTGACAGACATTCCCGCTCCTTACGCATTGACGGCGATGAGGTTGACGAGGCCCCAACGTCTACGAAAAGTACGGTCAGCGCCCGGAAGCCCTGAAGGACCTGACCTACGTTTCCTTCCTCAAACACTGGAATTTCCGCTCTAGAGACCCTTCCGCATGGAAGCAATGGCGGCCAGGCAACGTTAACGGCAGGCCCCGTGTGTTGGTTTACTTTCCTCGCTATCAGGTTGCTCCAGAAGGCCAGCAGTGGCCAGATTATTGCCGTGTAAAGCTGACATTAAATCACCCACATCGCCGGCTTGATGAGCTCCTCACTTTCGACGGCCAGGCTTTTAGTTCCCACGTTCAGGCCTTCTCCTATTGTTGGCAGCATCACAATCATGGTGATGACCATTACGGCCAGCCAAAAGAGGCTCGATTACAGCCTCAAGATGATCAATATGAGGCTCTGCCTGTGGGGAAGAATTTGATGACGAAGACTGGATTCGCCTCGCTGCCCTTTACCTGACCACCCCTTACCCAGGAAGTTCTTGACCTTCTTGGCCGCCGCGATATCGACGTCAATTACGACTGGACACGGCATGTGGGTACATATCCGGAACTTCGAGATGGCTACTGGAAGGACCTTATCGCTAGCCACCCCATGGCCAACGATGTGGAGGTCCTTGGCCCTCAATGGCGTAATACGCTGAATCCACAACAACGGCTCGTGTACGACACATTCATGGGCCACTTCCAGGCGCGAAATCCCACTCAAATCCTTCTCCACGTTGATGGTGGTGGTGGCACCGGCAAGTCGTTCCTTATCAAGGTGCTTTCCTCCCATCTTCAGGCGGCCGCTCTACCGAATCCTAGCCCTATTTGCCGCGTAGCGCCAACAGGCGTTGCGAGTAACCAGATACAGGGCAGCACCATTCATTCATTGCTACGCCTCCCAGTAGGTGGTGCTTTACCGACCTTCCCCAGCCGACGCAGCCGCCCTTCAGTCCCGCCTACGGCACGTCAAATACCTCGTGATCGATGAAAGAGCATGCTGGGGATTGAGCAGCTCGCGCGGATCGATTCCCGTCTGCGACAGGCCTTTCCACAGCGTAGCCTCGAGTTCTTTGGTGGTGTGAGCGTCTTGCTTGTGGGCGATTTCTTCCAGTTACCACCAGTCCGGCAAAAGCCCCTGTATTCGACTAGCACCAGCCTGTCTTCGTTGGAAAGGAGAGGGCAGGTGGCCTACCGGTTATTTGACCGCACCGTCTTCCTGACCACGGTACAGCGCCAGGCTGGTGATGATCAGGCTCAGTTCCGTCGGGCGTTGCAGGAACTGCGTGAAGTCAAGTTATCCATACCGTCCTGGAACCTCCTTAGCAGTCGGGTACAGTCCAGGCTAACGCAGAGCGAGGTTGACAGCTTCAGGGCCGCTTTGCGGGTGTATTCTACCAGGCCCGGGTCAACGAATACAATTACGAGCATATGGTGCATCTCAACGCCCCGGCAATACAGGTGGAGGCAAAGAATCAGGCAAGGGCGCGGGCAGGCACCAAGCGACAATGCTGGCAATCTATCTAACAAGTTCCTGTTGCTAAGGGCGCCAGGGTAATGCTCACTACTAACCTATGGCAGCCAGCTGGCCTAGTTAACGGTGCCCAGGGTACTGTATACGATATCGCCTGGAACCCAGGCGCCGAACCATTGGAAGATCCCCCGGCCGTTATTATGGTGGACTTTGATAGCTACGATGGACCGCCATATCTAATAACTAACGAGGGCAGGAAAATCTCACCCATCCTCCCAGTCAGGCGTGATTTCTTATGGGCAACGAGACCTGCGCTCGCACGCAGTTTCCTGATGGTGGCGTTTGCTATCACTGTTCACAAATGCCAGAGCCTAACGAAGGAGCAAATAGTTACTGATCTCGCTACACGCGACTTCCAGGCCGGTATTAGCTATGTTGCTGTGTCACGGGTTACGTCGCTGCAAGGCTTACTCCTTGAGGCGCCTTTCGATCGTCAGAGCCTCTATAACCACACGCCGACAGAAGGTTTATAAGCCTGTCTCCCTACGTGCTGCGTTTACGGCTAACTACAAAGGCTAAAGCAGGGATGAAGATGCGCCTCGCTGACCAACAACGGCGTCAGGGTCAACAGCTGAGCGATGCACCGTATCCACCACTCTACCTTGACTAAACGACGTCTTCCTATAAGCTACAGGAAGGGGAGGTTCGATATAGGGTATATAGTTAGATTGGGCCAGTCAAGGAGCGGTTTAAACAGCTGGATGGCCGCCGCAGGCGAAAGGGGGGTTCTAGGGGGTCCCCCCCTAGGAAAGTTGAATTGCAGGAATACGATGTTCACCCTTCGGGCTGGATATTCAGCCGTTAAGCCCCTTGCCTTGGCAACTTAACGGGTGTTCGAAGTATTTTAGTGTACCGCATTTGTAACTATTGAGGGCCAACTCGCTCCTCCTACTTACAGCATGATGGATAACATGGACAAATATTCATAGGGCGAACCAAGTAGTATTTTATTCAGCCGAAGGCTGACTTTACATTAATCAGAATAAGTTTCCCAATATGAGGATTTGGTGCAGACAGTGTTGAAGGCTGTGTAGCGGATTGAGTGTTCATTAAAGGTTGAAGAAATCTTTAAGTAAAAACAGAGAAATGCCACCTTAATATATCACTTCCAAGCCACTGTCAGGGGCTCCTCAGAGAGCCTTTCAGGGGTTCAGGGGTTCTGATGACCCACTTCAACAGACAGGGATTATAAGTTTTTACAGATCTGATTGGCCGATGTTTTGTATGGGAGGTCTCTAAAGTAGGCTGGATTGGCTGGTGTCAGTAGATAAGTGGATATCGGGAAGCCACCAATTTCTCAGCTGCCCCTTTATTTGCTGTTGCGGCTCTTAGCCACGGAACAATTCTCTCGCAACCAAGCCCAATGCTCTCTCTCCACGATCAGGCATGGATCACGATTCTAGGGTTAATGATCGCCCTACGTCTGGTGTTGGAGTCCACTGTCCTTCTTGCAACCAAATAAAGCCGACGGGCGACTTCGTTAGCAGGAGGAAGTCTGCCAATAAAACTAGAACCTGCGTAGCATGTCGAGACCAGCGCAATTCTGAGGTACCTGACATTGTTGGTATGGTCTACTCCGAATATGCGTCCCTAACCCGATCAAGCGTGCCAGATCGAAAGCCGCAGTCCTCGCATTGAAGAAGCTGGCCCGTCGCCCCCCTTCACTCCACAGATCTACCCCGAAACGAACTGACAGAGATGCTGGCCTGTCCCCTCCTACTTCGAGGACCAGAATCGAGCCTGCATCGCCGGAGACGCTGCAACAACCTTCTGTAGTCAGCAGCTTATACGGAGAGCGCACCAGCCAGCCTCACGTCGTGCTAGGCACGCCGCTTCCAGCAACCCAACAAGGCTCGCGGTTCTTCCGGGCGCTGGCCCCGTCACCTGCTGAGCAGCCAGCGACCGATCCAGTCGCCTCCCGCTTTGATCCATCGAGTGCCCGAGGCAACGCAACCAGAATGAATTATTCTTACCTGGCTGCTAGATTCCACAAAGGCGGGAAGGTCTCGCAAGATGATCTCTCTACCGCCGGGGCTAGGGTTAAGCTGGCCGCTATCCAGCGCGACCATCGATCACGACGTCGTGCAGGGGAGACTGTGTCACTGACTCCTTCCATATCTCAACTCGGCGTCTCGGAAGGTTCGGCTGTCCTGGATAAGATATCCCTTGTGTTATCGTTGTAGCAGTGTGTTCGGGCTAATAGGGAAAGTAGATACGAGTCGAGATCGGCCGCAGCCGAGCGGGCTTCTAGATGGGGATCAGGTAGCCAAGGAAGGAGGCGATATAGACCAGTTTTCCGAACCCGATATGGATGCCGAGGACTATTTCAACCTGCTGCTTTCCCCCGTTCGACCGCGTCGCTACCGTGAACAATTAGGGGCTGATTGCGACTCCGATGCCGGGAACGAAGACGAGAACAACGATAACGATTCCGTGTATGAAAGTCCTGTTCGTAGTCGCTTGCAGCAGCCGTCTGCGCGGCCAAGACGCGGCCGCCGTGGTCCTGCCCCTGGCACAGGAGGGCGGCCGAGACAACCGGGAAGGCGAATCCAGAGACAACTTCGATGGCAAAATCGACTGTCGCGGCCGCCACGGCGTATTCGAAGTCCAGTTATAATTCCACCGGAAGAAATGGCGGTCTTCCGTGCACAAGATCCGGCGTGGACTGGCGACCTGGATACTTGCGCCTTGACGGACTGCGATAGGGCCACCCTCCGTGAGTTCTGGACCAAGCTCGACAATGACCAGATGGAATACTGCAGCCGATGCCGCGAGTGTTGGTTTCAGATGGAAATAGATTATGACGGCATTTGTTCGCGTTGCTATCGAAAGGATGACAAACGTGGCCCCGACGAGCCTTACTTCTTCTCTGCGGAAAACCTGCTCGACTTTGGCCCCGTACCGACCCGATTGCCCGAGCTCACACCTACCGAAGAGGCATTGATTGCTCGTGTCCATGTCCACGTGAACATTATGCTTGTGCGGGGGCAGCAGTACAGGTATCGGGGGCACGTCGTTCACTTTCTCCGCGAGGTTGGCTTGGTGTACAACCAGCTCCCTCTCCTGCCGCGGGAGTTGAACACGGTATTACTGCGTCCTGCCAACACGTCATCACACGCTAATCTCAGCCGGCAATTCACCCGCCAGTTCCGCGTGCGTCGCCAGGCTGTTATGATATGGCTAGACTACCTCCGCCATCATCATCCTGGCTATCGATCCATCGCCATCGACGACGAGCGACTGGGCCAACTGCCCGAGGACGGCAATGTGGTGGACGCCATCCCCCAAAGTCAGGTGGAGGCTGCCGATGTGGGACCGGAGGAAGATCAGGAGGCAGAGCCTGACCTAGAGGATGCGGCTGCGGTGCCTGACCTGTTGGCCAAGGACACGGAGCTCGATGCTCTGCGGTCTATTCTCGCGGGTGAATCCGAAGCGGATGCGGGGCAATCCCTTGCCACAGGCTCTCCAGGGCAGGCGAGGCACGAGCTCCAGCTTCCCAACATACGGCACACGCCGATCAATGAGTTCAATCGCTCTCATGCCCTGCTCTCCTTGGCATTCCCCTGCCTCTTTCCAGACGGCAGAGCCGACTTTGTGGAGCCTCGCTTGCGGTCCATTGAGTACAAGGATTACATCGAGCACGCGATGCGGTGGCACGACGGGCGTTTTGCGCGCCATCCAACCTTCCGTTTTGTCGCATTCAACACCCTGATGCGGTCCCAAGCACGTGCGCGGTCCAAATTCTTCGTGAAGCAACACGATGGCACCCGTGAGCCGCTCACGCGAGAGCAGCTTATTCAGGCGCTCGAACACGCTGAGGATCCACAGGCGCAGGCGCTGATCAACTCGATCACAAGGCATGCGGTGTCGATTCGCGGTACGCGACCCTTTTGGAATAGAAAGAGGCAGGACCTCGAAGCGTATGCCTACAGCTTGGGTTGTCCTGGCGCATTCGTCACATTTAGCCCGGCTGATTTACACTGGCGGAGCCTCTACCAACACATGCCCCGATATGAAGAATGGCTGGGCGCGTCCGAGCCGGAAAGGATGGCATTGTCGCGGTACTTGTTGCGGCAGAACCCTCACATTGCTGCTTTCCACTTTCACCGCCGATACTGTCTCTTTCGGGATATCGTGTTGAGAACGAAGTTTAACGTGACGGATTACTGGGATCGATATGAATGGCAAGGGCGTGGGAGTCCACACAACCACGGTCTGTACTGGATGGAGAATTGCCCGGTAACCGACATGAGGGACGAAACCGCTCGCGACCTTTTTGCACGCACGTGGGGATTCCACATCACTGCCATTAACCCGGAGCCGAACAGGACAATGCCCCAGGGTGAAGGGAATCCCCTGAGTGTGGATCCACTGGGCGTAGAGATGACATTCCTGCGGCTCTCGCAGATCGTCAACCGCTGCCAGCGCCACAGATGCAATACCGCGTACTGCTTGCGGGTACGAAAGAGAAGTGGGGACCTGGCGAACGATATGCAAGGGGCTGCAGCCGATATCGAGGCGGCCAATGTCGCCGATCCGGAGAGGGAGTGTCGTTTCAACTTCCCCCGTGCCTTGCGGGAGCTAGCCGCAGTCATCAGGAAAGAAGGTAAGTCATATTACATCTTCGAGGCTGCCCGCAACGACAGCCTCATGAACCACTTCAATCCTGCCATCATTCTGGGCTGGCTGGCCAATATCGACATATCGCCCTGCACCAGCTTACAGGCAGTCATTACGTATGCTGCCAAGTATTGCAGCAAATCGGAGAAGAAGACGGAGCCTTACTGCAAGCTCGCAGATCAGGTTTTGCCGCATACAACACACCACCAGCCTCTGTTGTCCTTCTCCTCTCGCCTTATGAATAAGTTGATTTCCGAGAGAGATTATTCGGCGCAGGAAATTTCCCACTTGCTGCTCAACATCCCTCTGCAGGAAGGCACTCGGATGGTTGTGTACGTCGACTGCCGCCCGTTGGAGCAGCATGCGCGGTCGTACCGCGTCGACGAGGATGTCAGCGAGGCTGTCGGCAGCTACCGGAAATATCTGCAGAGAAATGACCAACATGAGAGTATAACCTATCTCGAGTACCTGCAGTCCTACAATCTCAAGACGTGGAGGAGACTCGGTGCGAACGCGAAGAAGAGGGTCCTGTCCTATTTCCCTCGGTACAGGTCAGCGGAAGCGTCGCCCCAGTTTCATGACTTCTGCCGTGTCAAGTTGATGATGGCCCATCCGCATCGTTCTCCGGAAGAGCTGCTTGCTGTGGACGGGCGGCGGTTTGAGTCCTTTGCGGCGGCGTACCAGTGCTGCCGGCAGCGACACCATTTCCACGAGGACGACCGTTACGGGGAGGTGGGAGCAAATGAGCTGCAGGCAGAGGACGATGAGTTTGAGCGGGAGGAGTACGAAGAGCCTGTCGTGGAGGAAGACTGGCATGAACTCGCCCGTATGCTGCCTGACCATCCGCTGGAGGAGGACGATATCGACGTGCTGGGCCGGCGAGATGTCGACGTGAATTATGACTGGGCTGCCCACGTTGGACGGTATACCGATGACGGCATTCTCCAGGGCGACTTCTGGAAGCAACGCAAAGCCGAAAACCCCTTTCACCTTGATGTGGATCATCAGCCGCTCGAGGCTCGCGATTCCCTGAATCCGGAGCAGCGCCTAGTGTACGATACGGTGATGGGCCACTTTCTGACCCAGGCCTGTTCCCAGTTGTTACTCCATGTGGACGGTGGCGGTGGCACGGGCAAATCATACCTCATCAATCTGCTCTCGGCGCACCTTCAAGCCGCCTCGGGCGGAAGAGGGACGCCTGTTTGGCGTGCCGCGCCCACGGGCGTTGCGGGAAATCAGATATCGGGCACTACCTTGCACTCCCTGCTGCACCTCCCCATCAACAAGGACTTCAAGCCCCTGGCAGCGATCGACAAAGCTCAGCTACAGAAGAAGGTGAAGGACATCAAGTACCTGATTGTTGATGAGAAGAGCATGCTGGGTCTGCGACAGCTGTCATGGATTGATGACCGTCTCCGTGAGGCTTTCCCGAATAGGAATGAGGAGTTCTTTGGTGGTCTTAATATCCTCCTGGTTGGCGACTTCTTTCAGCTTCCCCCTGTACTGCAGAAGCCTCTTTATTACGACAAGGAGGTGCAGGGAGTAGAGATCAAGGGCAGGAACGCATATCGGCGCTTCGACAAGACGGTTTTCTTGAAGGTTGCCCAGCGTCAGCGCGGCGACGATCAAGGAGCGTTTCGTTCAGCTCTTGAGGAATTGCGGCTGCTTCAACTATCTACGGAGTCCTGGAAGCTCCTCTCCAGCCGTGTTCAAGCGAAGCTGGACGATCAGGAGGTTGCCAAGTTCGTCAATTCCCTACGAGTATACGCCACGAAAGACAGGGTGAACGAATATAATCACTACCACCTCGACCGGCTAGGCCGGCCTGTCATCCAGGTTATGGCTAGGAACGTTGGCCCCGGCGCTGCTGCTGCTCCTGACGACAAGGCAGGCAACCTTGCGAAGCAGATTCCCGTATGCATTGGCGCCCGTCTGATGCTGACGTCCAACCTTTGGCAGCCAGTTGGCCTCTGCAACGGCGCCCGTGGCACAGTATACGATATCGCCTGGGCGCCTGGAGCTGACCCCATGCAAGACCCTCCCTGCGTGATCATGATGGAGTTTGACAAGTACACGGGGCCGGTATTCCTGACCACCGCAGATGGTAAGAAGATTGTCCCGATTCTGCCAGTAGACAGGGACTTCCTCGTCGGAGCCACGCTCTGCACTCGTACGCAATTTCCCCTGATCGTATGCTACGCCATTACAGTTCACAAGTCGCAGAGCATCACCGAAGACATGATCGTGACGGATCTGTCCTGCCGTGACTTTCAGACCGGATTGAGCTACGTGGCCGTCTCGCGTGTGAAAACGCTGCAGGGTCTGATGCTGGATGCCCCGTTTGACCGCAATCACCTGACTTATGCGTCGCCGCCGGAAGGAGTTAAGATGAAAATGAGGGATCAGCAACTTCGCAAACGACAGATTCTCACCCAGAATCCGTATAAGATACGGTAGGTCACGCGTCTATGTAACTCCACTTGATGCTACCCGCGACAAGAACGACACTTTCCAAGGCACAGATGATTGTATAATTGTAGATACTGTACTGATTGTTCGGTGACTGCTTGTAGCCAGACTCGCAGCCTTCGGCTGATTGTACGCCTTGCACCACAGCCCTTAAAACTAAAGTGCAAGGTGTGGCGCAGTATTTTAAAGCTACTTCAAGCACGCTCCTATCTTACCTCTTCCCGACAAAGCCGTCGTGCAGCCAATCTCAAGTACGAAAAGAGCTGGCAGCGAGAATCCCCCGAAGCTTCAGCATCATCCTTCAATTATCTCACCTACACAACACAGCAACCAGAATCTACCCCTCGGACCTCGGAAATTCACCTGCACATACATTTTCCTGAGCACAGCCCGCTCCTCGAAGTACCCTGAGCCGCCCTGAGCCGATCCTGAGCCGCCCTGGGCTGCCCTGATGACCTGAGCTGCCCTGAGCTGCCGGATCACCGCCTGAGGCCCTTGGCTGCCCTGAGTTGCCGGTAAACAGTGACAGGCTTTACCCAGCTTGTGTGCAGGGTATCGACAAACCATTAATGACTAAGTTGGCACCATTTTCTAAGACACTGATTTCACTCGTTCCCACGCCCAGTACTGAGCGGCTGAACATTATGCTGCATGTTTGTCCGAGTCGGCGATACATAGAAGATCTGTGGCTTACCCTGCCTATCGAGCTTGCCAAAGTAGTATTGTCTGTCACACAGACCAAATGCCATAACTGTCAATTGCGCACCACTTGTTGGAGCGCGCACGCGCACGTTCGAGCCCTGTGAAGTGAGCAAACCATCACGAAGCGATAGAGCCAGTCCTGACTGAGGCAGGAGCAGCGAGTCCTAGCAACAAGCTGTGGAGCGCCGGCGTGGCACCTAGCACAGTGGCAGACGGCGGTAAATCGATTAAGTTATTCAGCTTGCTCCACCTTCACGCGACCAAAGGGGTCTGCAAAGTGCGAGTGCTGGAGAGGATGAATCGAGGGGGATACTAGATAGACTGGTGGATAGGATGGATGCATTCTGCTCCGGGACGGACGGCCTCAGTGGTAGTGAACGGGGACACGTCCGAGCAACAAGTCTTGCCCCAAGCAGGTCTGCCGCAAGGATCACCACTGTCGCCAATTGCGTTCCTGTTCTTCAACGCAGACTTGGTGCAGAGACGCATCAATGCAAAAGGTGGCGTGATCGCGTTGGTGGACTACCGGTACTACTCACTCAGCCTCGGTGACGGGGCCAACGGCGGAGGCGAACCGAGAGGGCATCCAATCAATCATTGCCGAAGCGCTCCAGTGGGAAAGATGCAGCGGCGCAACGTTTGAAGCGGGCAGAACGACTATCATTCACTTCACAAGAGTAATGGAGCGCACCTGCGACAGCGACACACCGTTCATGACCAAAGGACAAGAGGTCATACCGAAGAGCAGCGTGAAACTCCAAGGGGTGGTCATGGGCACGAAGCTTTCGGTGCATGGAGCAGATAGTTAGAGCGGCCGCCAAAGGGCTCACGGCCGCATGTCTTTGCGAAGACTGAAGACGATATCCTGCAAATGGCGAGAAAACTGTTTGTCACGACGGTAGCGCCAACCATGCACTACGCCTCCAGTGTGTGGATGCAGACGTGCGGCGTGAGAGAGGCGGCTCAGCTAGACAGGGCCCAGAAGGTTGGGGAACAGGCTGTCACGGGAGCCTCCGGCACAGTTGCAACAGTGATAGCCGAGGCTGAGGCCGGCATCGCATCGTTTCGAGAACGGCACGGTCAAGTCGCGGCGAGGTTCTAGATCAGCCTGCGGACGCTCCCCAAGACGCATCTTCTGGCATCATCAAAGGTCAGAGCGAGCAAGCGACTCGTCTCGTCGATGCGAAGGATTGCCTCGATCATCGCGGAGTCAGACACAGAGCGAATGGAGATCATCCACGAGTACTCTCTGGCACCACGGAACGACCGCGTCGTGGGCGAGCGGGATCAGACACAGGTGGTCAAGCCAAACGACGTGGAAGATATCGTCGTCGCCACTCCCAGCTCGCAGAGCGTGGTTGGAATGGGAGGTGTCGTTCACGACACTAGCCTCAACAGCACGAGCGAGCTGGCCAGCTACTCGGTCACCCTCGGATTGAGGGATGAGCAGAACCGGTACATAGCAGAAATCGCGGCAGTGGCAACGGCGCTGGCCGGCCAGACTGCGTCGCCGAGATTTGACGATCATGACGAGCAACTGCTCGGCATTGGAGGTAATCAGGCGGGCACGCCAACAGTCTGGCCAGTGCACAATCCTACAGATATACGACGCATCGATGCAACAGAATCCGGGTGGCGAAAAATATGCCTGTCAAACGATTGTCTACATCTTTTCGAACCCGGCACCAGATGCCCTCATTATGCAGCTGACCAACCAGTGCTTGAATGCTGCTCCGGCCTTGGTGTAGGTCCCTTCTCGTCGCCGCAATCCGATTGTAAATGTCTCGTTGGCTGGCAAGGTATTCGAATGGTTATGAAGGTATGTTATGATATCCGAGGATTACCAGACGCCACAAGATCTGAAATATTTGTAGCGTCGCGCTCTTCGAGTCGGCGATGCACTGGGCGCGCCGACGGGTCCCCGCTTGGTGAGTGGTTGTGCTCAGCGCACTCCTTGTCTGGTCGATGGCTGAGAGTCCAAGTGTGTCCATCTAGTGACTCTTTAGCTAATATTGAGAACTTGTAACCCGTTTTGCGACTAGAGGTTTGGCGTGCTCGTTCGACTGTGTCTTCGGTGGCAGTCTGTTCCGGTCGCAGTCTGTTCCGGTCGCAGGCGTACACTATTTTACCCTCCCATTTGGAGTCTTCTGGAGGCGGTGATGGTGTCGGGAAGAAAGACAGACATCAGATATGTGTCAATTGCAGCGCACCTGTTGGAGCGCGTTCCACTTTTGCCTGCGTGGCGCAATGGTCTTCGCAACAGATGGCCGAGCGGATTTCCTTTGCGATGGAAACGTTTGGGCTGTTGCCTACTAACCGCTTTGGAGCCAGGAAGAGGGGTTTCGCAGAGCAGGCTCTCGTGCTCCTGCAAGAGAACATTTACAAAACATGGCGAATGGGAAAAGTGCTTGGTCTTGTGAGCTTCGACGTCAAGGGCGCGTATAACGAAGTGTTCAAAAACAGGCTTCTACAACGGCTCGCAGCGAGAGGCTTGGCAGATGATCCCCTGGATGGGTCGATCGTCGTCGAAGAAGCAGGCCTCAGGAGCTCCCACGTCAAGGCATATCAGCACCGTGGAGAGCTCCTGCTAGGCCTGTACCTGTACGACTACGTATCGCTCGTCAGACTCAAACGCGATAGCAACGACGGGAGCTGTGCAGGTTGGGAGAGGCCCTGTCGAGGATGGGCGGCCGCCAGGAAGACGTTGGGTTCAGGTGCTCAGGCGGCCGGGAAAGCAGGCCACCGTCTGCCTTGACGGCGACCTGAGCAGGACTTTGCCCACGACGATGAGGATTCGTATCGTCGGGGGATTATGCGGAAACCGTTTCGCCGGCGGATATGGGAGATCCCAATTTTTTTTTCACCATTGAAAGGCAGCCGTGCAGCAACTTGCGCTATTTGTACCATGGGAGCTCTTCCTGTGCGAAGAAATGGGCGACATCAACAGCATCTGGGCGCGGGCGCGAAAGGCGCTGGCTCCGAGAATATCATGTCTCATCAATAACGTGCAACTGCTTCGACGACCAGCCGAAGACGCAGAACGCGACGCCAAGAGATGGGCATCCACCTCCGGAGATGGCTATCCGACGGTCGGACACGTGGGGAGGGACGATGCGGGCGCAGAATCTACAGTGACGTATCAGTCTATCAGCATCGGAAACGCAACGCGGCTGATCGACGTTGTCCGAGGTGCAGTGGACTCGAATCAGATGGCGGCTAAGTCGCCGGAGCTCATGGCGATGATGCAACAGCTCTGTCGGTTCCAACAATCCGTGCTGCGCTCGACGGCCGAGCTGGAGGCCGCCTGGTAACCCGAACGAGGGCGAGACGGATAAATATGTAGGGCGGGTATTTTCCGGGGCCGCACTACCACCGCAAAATCAGGTCAGGCCATCAAGTCGCAGCAGATGAGTGCTTCGAAGGAGAGGGAGAGGATCATCCAAAGCATACCGGTACAAGATATAACCGTGGTCCGGGAAAGCGACCGCCGCGCTGCATCGCGGAGAGTCATGGCCGGCCACGGGGAGGACGATGTCAAAATGGCGACGGCCGGCTTCGATGAGACCTGAGACCCCAGATGTGTCCTGGGACCATGTGTGTCCTGTCCTGGGATCCAATTGTGTCCTGGGACCGTGTGTGTCCTGGGATCCCTGGGACCATGTATGTCCTGGGATCCTCTTGTATCCTTGGGACCGTGTGTGTCTGTGTCCTGGGACCTTGGGACCGTGTGTGTCTGTGTCCTGGGACCGTTGTGTGTCCTGGGACCGTGTGTGTCCTGGGACCGTTGTGTCCTGGGACCGTGTGTCCTGGGACCGTGTATGTCCTGGGACCGTGTGTGTCCTGGGACCGTGCATGTCCTGGGACTATGTGTGACCCCGAATGCTATAGCACCTGCCGTCAGTCATGCGGTGTGTCCTGGGACCGTGTATGTCCTGGGACCGTGTGTGTCCTGGGACCGTGTGTCCTGGGACCGTGTATGTCCTGGGACCGTGTGTGTCCTGGGACCGTGCATGTCCTGGGACCGTGTGTGTCCTGGGACCGTGCATGTCCTGGGACCGTGTGTGTCCTGGGACCGTTGTGTGTCCTGGGACCGTGTGTGTCCTGGGACCATGTGTGTCCTGGGACCGTGTGTGTCCTGGGACCGTGTATGTCCTGGGACCGTGTGTGACCCCGAATGCTACAGCACCTGCGGTCAGTCATGCGGATCGTGCGACTGAGCCAGGTCTGAGTTGTGGGATCTGAGCGGCAGGCTATTACTGCATAACATCGCCCAGAGAGCTTTGAGAAGCAGAGCTTTCTCATAACCTGTGACCAAACTGTGCTGGCGGTGGATGGTGGCATCCGTCAAGGCCCTAACCGGTTAGGATTGAAGTTGCAAACATTGCCCTGACCCCGTTGCGAATTATGGGCAGGCTCCGCCCAGGGTTGCAAGCCAGATTCACTGCACAAACCCTGATTCTGCTAGGGTCAGCCTCGCACAAGGTTAAAGTCTGGCGAGCCCCCTTAGCCGTCCTGTACGCGATTTTTATTATCCCTGTACCTAGACCGTATGAAGCAAGGGGAAGGTAACTTACGTTGGGCACAGAAAACGCGGGGTGTCGCTCCTAGACCCTTCCCCGATCATGGGTGCCCGTGACGGCCCCCTTTCCGCTCCCTGTGCCCGATTTTTAGTCTCCCTGTGCACCTTACCGTACTTAGCAAGACTCCACACGTAGACGCGTAACACACCATAATACACACAATTGGCGTCGCGGCAAGCAGTGCCTCCTGATACAACACCACAAGCCAAAATAACTCGTGATAGCCACCCACCTCGCAATACCACATCGCGTCTGCGCAGCTAAGTTTCCAGAGGCACACAACCGCCACAAAGCAGCTAATCAAACCGTTCTTTTGTCAAGATGCTTCTCCAGCCCCCGCCAAACAATATGCCACTCTTTGAGACCTTTGACGATGCGTTTGACGAGCTCCAGCGGCATGCGCGCTGCCAAGGCTACGCCATAGTTAAGTTCAAGCCAAGCAACTACGAACATGGGCTCCACGCCGTTACGACATCGTATGCGCATGCGGCGGCCGTGAATACAAGTCAGCCTCGTTAGGACTCCGGAAGACTGGCACTAGGCGGACTTCCTGCCCGTTTAGAGTCAAGGTTGTGCGCCTGAAGCTAGAGGAGGCCTCTGGCGAGTCTCTGTGATGTGCCCAAGGCACAACCATGAGGCCAATAGGCCGGCGCCTTCCCAGAATACCGGCGCCTTCATCCACATCAACTCCAGCAGGTTAAAGATTTATCTCGCGATGCTGGCTTAACGGCGCGGCGGATCCTTCTTGCTCTTCGGGCTAAGAACCCGCGGCTACTTGCAACAGAGCAGGACATCGCGAATATCTGTGCCCGGCTTCGTCTCCGGGAGCTTGGGGCACATACATCCACACAAGCGCTTATTGCCAGGCTCGACGAGGAAGGTGCCTTCCATAAAGAGCTACTTGACGATGAGGATCGCTTCTTCTACCAGATTGTGGGCCTTGACCCTGCCTTGCGGCTTTGGGCACAACATTCACACCTCATGATGGCCGACGTAACGAACAACACGAATAGATATGGCCTCAAGCTGCTAGAGATCAATGGAATCACTGCCTTGGGCTCTATCTTCCTGTGGCTTTCTGTTTAATCCTTCCGAAGACACGAACGCATTTACCTGGTGTTTTATACAGCTTCGCGAGTGGTTACAGTCAAAGGCAAGGCTAAGAGGCGAGGCTGACGGCAATGCCTTTATCCCACACGTTATCATCACGGACTATGACGCTGCTGCGCGCGCTGCATTGTCGGCTACCTTCCCGGACTCGCAGCTACAGGTCTGTACGTGGCATATCATGAAGAACATCACTACAAACGTGAAGAAGCGCTGGCTTGGCGACTATGACGATGACGACCCATTTGACCCGCCGCAAGAGCCCCAAGACGATGAAGACCCCGGGCGCTCTGCAGCTACCGGAGCCACTGCCGGAAAAAGAGGCCCCTGTGCCTTCATAACAGCCTTCCGGTCCGTAGTGTATGCCCCGACCGAGGACGAGTTCAACAGCCGCTGGGGCATCGTCAAAGGCGCCTTCTCAGACCAGCACATTATTCTTAGGTATGTAGAAGAGATCTGGATGCCTGTACGAACACAATGGGCGCGCGCTTGGGTCTGCCGTTACCGCAACTTGGGCCACACAACGACCTCGCCTTGTGAATCCCTTCACTCAAGCTCTCGCACCTTCCTTCGCAACGGCCAGTCGAACCTGCTTGAATTATATCATGCCTTGCAACTACAAGCCTCAACCTCACGAGAACACCATGATCGGACCGTTGAGCGCGAATCACGACGGACTCGCGACCCGTTCCGGCTACCATTATATGAGGATGCCGTCGAGAAGGCGTCATATCGGTCTCTCGAGCTTGTACAGAAACAGGCACTAGCCGCCTCGGCCGGCCTCCTCAAACCACAAGAGCGGCCACTTGGGGAATGTGGGAATAGCTTCACTGCCCAATACGGGCTGCCCTGCAAGCATATTATCGCCTCGTACCTCCAGGTCCAAGGGGAGGGGACTAGCCGCAAAGTTATAGCTACAAGACCCTTGCCCTTGAACTTGTGGGACAACCACTGGCTTCTACGGCAGGATCTTGCCGTCACAGACCCATACAGACGAATTCGCGATCCTCGAGTCATTGCCCGGCGCCGCAGACCAGCCAGAGCCATAGCCTTTGCACCTGTGGCCACGACTGCAGCCGTTGCAACAGCCGCTGTAACTGCACCTGTGGCCTCGTCAGCAGCGGCAGCAGCAGCTACCCCACCAGCTTCGCAACAGTCACAGCCTCGCGGGCAACAGCAACAGCGGCAGCCAGTCTTGCAGACAGTGCTTTCGCGGCTTGAGGCTATTGGCAACTATCTTGGCATTGGGCCGGCTATAGCTTCGTGGTCGGTGTCAACACCACAAGCCGACATCGTGATCCGTCAAACGCCTACACAGCCGACCTCATACCAGCAGCCGCAGACTTTCCGGCGCTCAGAGTCTGCCACCCAACTTATGCGGCGGCTACCCCTCCGTCTTCGAATATCACGAGCCGCCGCGGCCGCCGCGTCAAGGAGGTTCTCAACGGGGGCATCGCGAGCGCCCTCGTCTCTTTACCCTTGGGTCCTCGACCCCTCTTTCTAGCACCCTTACATCAGTGGAAGGAGGATTCATGCCGCTCCCGGCTTCGCAGATAAGTAACGCTACAGTTAGAGGAAAGGGGGAACGCTCGCCACGGCGGAAAAGAGGCCACGCAATGCGGCAGCCGTATGAGCTTGTAATGCGGCTAGAAGATATGGAGGAAATGTGCGAATAGCTTCAAGTTCATAATGTTCAACGCAAGACTCTACAATCCGTGACTACCTTCTAATTGGTGTGTTGCACACACAAATGCATGTCTTGGCCGATTCGCGATGCTTCTACCTAATACGGTACCATGCACCACCACCCTTTCGCCAACCCCACCCTTTCGCCAGGCAAAAAAAAAAAACCACCACCAAAACTCAACTATTTCATTTATACAGAATTTGGCCAAAATAGAAGTTATTGGCAAGCGGTCACTTCTCATAGATATAAAATTGATTGGAATTCATTTTTCTGGTCTCGTGCAGTTGCGTGGGGCACGTGATGTATGCAAGCCATTGCAAGGAAATATCACCATCTTAATCACCAAATTCCTCACCGCTCTTTCCCAACATTTCTCATGCCAGTCTCTCACAACGCAATAAAAATGCCTTCATCGCGGCCTCGTTGGAAATATACAGAAGACGACGTGGCCGAGGCTATATTAGATATCACCGATAACGGCTGTTCACCCTCTCAAGCGGCTCAGAGATGGGGAGTGCCTCGAAGGACTCTGATCGACAGATTTAACGGCCTGACGGCCATGAAAGAGCAAATTCAGCCTGGTCAGCGTTTGTCCAAGAATCAGGAAGATAAATTGGCTTTCTGGATTCTTCGTCAGGAGTCTCTGGGATATGCTCCGTCCCACAATCAGATTCGCGCTTGCGTCATGGGCTTGTTAAGACATCAAGGCGAACAACCAGAATTAGGACGCAACTGGGTAGCCAGATTCATCGAGCGCCACCGAGACCTTAAGACTAAGATCGGTAGACGTCAGGAAGCTAATAGGTTTGAATCCTTCACGCCTAAGGCGGTTCATTGGTACTTCGATGTCAGGGAGGGCCAGTACGGCTGGATTCGGCCTGAGAACATTGTTAACGTTGACGAAGGAGGCATCATGATCGGTTTTGGCAAGCCGCCATTTCTCTTTTCTCTTTATTTTCGAAATTTGACTAACTAGACTCTCTTCGTTAGGGTTGGATAGCCTGGTGGTCGGAAGCGCGGACCCAAAGCGAAAGGCTCTTCTCAAGGGACCACAAACTCGAAATTGGACTTCGTTTATCGAAGCTATCACTGCGGACGGCCGTTCCTTGACTCCTGGCATAATATTCAAGGGAAAGGAACTCCAAAAACAGTGGTTCCTTCATGAATTCAAGAAGATAGCGAACTGGCATTACATAACTTCACCAAACGGGTGGACTGATGACCACATTGGTGTTGAATGGCTTGAAAGAGTCTATTTGCCCCAGACCAAGCCTGCCGAGGAGTCCAATGCCAGATTAATCATTCTAGACGGCCACGGGAGCCATGCAACGGTACTGTCTTTGTTTACCTAGCCAAAGGTCGCTGCTAACGGAGCGAAGGACGAATGGATGGCTACATGCTTTTGAACAACGTTTACTGTTGCTACCTTCCTGCCCACTGCTCACGGCCTCCAGCCATTGGACAATGGAGTATTCAACGCCTCCAAAGCTGCATATCGACGAGAGTTGGAAAAGTTCGCTTCCTGACTGATTCTGCTCCGATGGATAAGGTCAATTTCATCAGAGCCTACGCCAAGGCTCGTGAAGTGGGAATGACGAAGAAGAATATACTCTCCGGCTGGAGAGTTACTGGCAATTGGCCAATTTCGCGAGCCAAAGCTCTACGGCACCCAGAAATCCAAGAGGATAGGCGGAATGACAGCCCAAAAAGGACTCCGGAGCCGGCGCCGTATTTTGGCTCGGATGATACACCAAAAACCAGCCGCCAGATTCGCGATCTTGGGCTAAACAAAACACCAAAGACACGGAGACGGTATAACGTGATAGCCAAAGGCTTTGAGACTCAACAACAGACGTTAATGGCGCATGCCATGAGAATTGCTGGCATGGAGGAGGAACTGGCACGTCTGAAGAGAGGGAAGAAGAGGAAGGCTATTCCGAATCCCAATAAACGTTTCATGACTCTGAGCGAGGCTCTAGCCTCTGGAGAAGCCAATCCAGAAAAAGGAAGCGAAAAGAAGCATGTTGTGGTGAACCATAGCTCTTCGGGGGAGTCAGGGCCAGAATCGGAGGCTGCTTCAGTTATTGAAGTCAGAGAAGAAACCATACTACCTCAGCCCACCACACGATCGGGGAGGCCGGTCAAAAGCCCTAAAATCCAATAGATACATCAATTGTAAATTTACACCAGGCAACCATTTGCAAATAACTTTTATTTTGGTCAAGTTGTGTGTAAGTGTGGGAATGGTACTCATCCTTTGTATGCATCCGTCTCTGATCACATGATCGGTACATGACCCTTATGGTCACGTGTACGGCTGAGGACAGCGTGCCCCCTCTTCTCCACGCTGGCCTCGCCTCCCTAGATAGAGAGACAAATCCTCATAGCATAACACGACACACCGGTTGAACGACGTTCCCAGTTTGTCTCATGCTCGAGACCTACCGACAGTAAGTGAAATAGTTAAGTTTTGGTGGTGGTTTTTTTTTTTTGCCTGGCGAAAGGGTGGGGTTGGCGAAAGGGTGGTGGTGCATGGTAAGGTGCACAGGGAGACTAAAAATCGGGCACAGGGAGCGGAAAGGGGGCCCAGAAAATTTCCCCACCGCCGCGACCCACACTTATGGCAAGACAAACCGAGCACGATGACGGCGACGGGAGACCAATCGGTTCCACGCGAAGAACGGGTCCTGCTCGCCGTCAGGGCCTATCAGCAGGGCCAATTCGGAAGTACCCGCAAGGCTGCGGCCGCATACGACGTCCCTCAATCGACAGTATCTGATCGACTGCGCGGTGTCATTCGCCGACGCGACGCTCAGATGAACAACCTGAAGTTGACGGCGACGGAAGAGACTGCCCTGGTACAATGGATCTTGTCGATGGACGAGCGAGGATGCCGCCGACAGTGGCTTACACTCGTCGGATGGCCAACTTATTGCTTTCCGAGCGAGGCAAAGATCCTGTCGGGGAGAACTGGGTGCGGAAGTTTGTTGGCCGCCACGGCGAAATCAAGGCCAAGTACTCTCGCCGATACGATTACCAACGCGCCAAATGCGAAGACCCCCAAAAGATCCAAGGATGGTACGATCGAGTCGCGGCGACGAAACAGAAATGGGGGATTCTTGACGAGGATGTCTATAACTTTGATGAGACGGGGTTTCAAATGGGAGTCGCTTCAACGGCGAGAGTCCTTACCCGGTCTGACCGGCGAGGTCGGGCAATGCTCACGCAGCCTGGAAATCGTGAATGGGTTACCGTGATCGAGTCTATCAATTGCCAAGGTTGGGCTTTACCGGCGAAGGTTATCTTCCAGGGCAAGTTACACCAAGCAAGCTGGTACGAATCAGGAGTGCCCGATGACTGGCATATCGCCGTTAGTGAGAACGGCTGGACTTCCGACGACCTTGCTTTGAATTGGTTAAAGGAAGTCTTTGATCCGAATACACGGCGCCGTACGGTTGGTACGCATCGACTTCTTATTCTCGACGGGCACGGCAGCCACGTCACGCCGGAATTTGACAAGTACTGTACGGCCAATTCCATCGTGGTACTCCAAATGCCTGCACATTCCTCACATCTCTTGCAGCCTCTTGATGTCGGGTGCTTTTCGCCGTTGAAAACAATATACGGCCGCAAGGTTCAAGAGAAAATGCTCGCTGGGATCCATCATATCGACAAACATGACTTCCTTCCTATATACTTAGAGGCTCGCCGACAGGCACTTTCACCGTCGAATATCCGAAGCGGATTTATGGCAACAGGCCTCTTTCCGTTCGACCCGAACAGGGTATTATCGCGGTTACAAGTTCAGGTTGACAAAGTTGGTAACGATCACGGCGACAAGAATCCAAGCCCCAAGAAGAGCCTGAAGCAGCCAAGACTCCGTATAACGTCAACCAGCTTACCACTCACGCCGAAAGGCTTCTTCAACGCCGGCCACAAAATACAGACTCGCCAGTCTCACAAGCTATCAACCAGCTTATCAAAGGATGTCAAATGGCCATGCATAGCACCGCCCTCCTTGCCGACGAAAACCGGCAACTTCGGTCAGAAAACCAGCGGCGAAAGCAGAGAAAAGAACAGCGCCGTGAATACATTGGCGACGGCGGTACTCTATCGGTTGCAGAGGGCACGGCTAGGATAAAGCGACGGAGAGAAGAAGAAGAAGAGCGGGTTAAGCGACGGAGAGTGGAGGAAGAGGAGAGGACCAAGCGCCGGCGAGAGAAGGACGAGGAGCGGGCCAAGCGACGACAAGAAGAAGAAGAGCGGGCCGAGCGACGGCGACAAGAGAACGAGGAATGGTTCAAGCTACGGCGAGAAAAGGAAGAGGAGCGGGTCAAGAAACAGAGAGCAAAGGAAGATGAGCGGGCCAAGCGACAGCGGGAAGAAGAGGAGGGCCCAACGACAGATAGAAGAGGAGCCAAGTGTCCCAAGACAGCGTGCACCACCACGGTGTAGTAAATGCAGGTCTTTTGAACACACTGCCCGTACGTGTAATAGATAGTCGTAAATCGAGTTACTTGTCTCTTGGAGTAAATATGTCGTGGTATTGTGCTCAGTTTGTCTCGCCGTAAGGTACGGACGGGCCTTGTCGGTGGAGAATTTTTGACCGAGTAGGGGGTCTGACCGGGAAGGGGGTGGATTACGTTATTGGCTCCCAAAAGAAAGGTTGATGAGGCTTGTAGATATTGATGTGCCAGTGTAACAGTGCAACATGGGACACCCTGGAAAGCATATGGAGGGCAAACTGAACGCCGTAATGGATGATCTCGGAGACAACTCATTCTGCCCGTCATTCTGCTCAAGCTGCACCGAGGCCAAAATGACAAGAAAGGTCTCAAGGGAGCCAATGTCTGCGGTGACAGAAAAGCTAGAGAGAGTCCATATAGATCTTTGGGGGCCAGTTGAGCTATCACTTCAAGGAATGAAGTACCTACATGCTGACAATCACCGATCAGGCTACCGGGCGAGTTTGGGTTTATTTCTCTAGAGACAAAACGAGAATTACCATGCCCCACCCCCCTTTCGGTAACACCCACCTTTCGGTAGCGCATTAGAAAATATCCCCACCAAAAACCATCAATTTCACTTACACGGATTCCAGCCAGCTTTGAAGATATTCACAAGCCGTCACTTGGAGTAGATAGTGGATTGATTGAATTCTACTTTTCGATGGTTGAATGTTTGTACAGGGTCTGCGGCCTGTGCGTACCTTGCACGCGAAATTACCATCCAACCCCCTAATCTCCTTCCGCCTCCTGACGATGATTCTTCTCGTTATTCCTCCACCACATGACCAAAATGACCTTAAAGCGGCCTCGGAGTATTTATACGGAGGATATTATGGCTAATGCGATAATTGATGTCACAAAAAACGGCTTGTCGCAGTACCGCGCCGCCCAAAAGTATGACATACCTCAGCAGTCTATTTCCGACAGACTCAAAGGCCAGGTAGCCCTGGCTGATCAGATCCAGCCTCGTCAACTCTTGAGTAAGTCTCAGGAAGCTCGCTTGGTTTCTTGGATCCTCCGCCAAGAGTCTCTCGGCTATGCTCCCTCCCACAGTCAGATCCGCGCATGTGTGGAGGCTCTTATAAAGCAACTGAACAACGAGCGGACAGTGGGGCGCAACTGGGTCTCTAAATTCATCAATCGCCATCCGGACATCAAGAACAAGCGTGGAGACGTCAGGAAGCTAACCGATTTAATGCTTTTACGCCTCGGGCGGTTCACTGGTTCTTCGATATCAGGAAAAGGAGTATGGATGGATTAAACCAGAAAATACCGTGAATGTTGACGAAGGCGGTATTATGTCTGGCTTTGGTGAGTATTTGGCTTGTCTTTCATTACTTTTACTAACCAGACTCTTTTGCCAGGTTTGGATAGTCTTGTGGTTGGGAGTGCAGACCCAAAACGGAAGGCCCTTCTGAAAGGGCCACAGTCCCGCAACTGGACCTCATTTATTGAAGCTATCACCGCG